GATGGGGGGCAGCACCTCCCTGGTAGTGGTGATGGGGGGCAGCACCTCCCTGGTAGTGGAGATGGGGTGTTAGCACCTCCTTCATAGTGGTAATTGGGGGGCAGCACCTCCCTCATAGTGGAGATGTGGGGGCAGCACCTCCTTCATAGTGGTAATTGGGGGGCAGCACCTCCCTGGTAGTGGTGATGTGGGGCAGCACCTCCCTGGTAGTGGTGATGTGGGGGCAGCACTTCCCTGGTAGTGGTGATGGGGGGCAGCACCTCCCTTGTTGTGGTGATGTGGGGGTAGCACCTTCCTGGTAGTGGAGATGGGGGGCAGCACCTCCCTCATAGTGGTAATCGGGGGGCAGCAACTCCCTTGTAGTGGTGATGGGGTGGCGGCACCTCCATCTTAGTCTCTTTGGGCAAATCGCTCATCTAGTCTTAGTGTCTTTGGGCAAATCACTTGGCCATTCTAAGCCTCAGTTTTCTTATTTACCAATTTAAGGATGATAAATATTTTTTCAACCTCCACTTGTTTTTAATAATGATCAAATGAGATTTTTTAGAAAATGAACACTGTTAAGTACCATACACGTGGAAGTTTTGAATTTTATAGCATTTTGATGCAAGAAGAAAAAACAAGACTGCACTAATACTCTTGGTGGTGATTGGTAGATGAAATGACATTCTTCTTACTTAGGGTTCACCTCATATACCTTCAGTTTGCAGTGTGATTGATTTATATTTTGCTTCACCTGTTAATTTAAAATACTATTTGCATTTCTTTCTTGATATTACAATTTTTGTTTTTGTTTTTTGAGACAGAATCTCATTCTTTCACCCTGGGGTTGAATGCTGGGGAGTCATGACAGCAACCTCAAACTCCTGGGCTCAAGCAATCTTCTTGAGATCCTAAGTAGCTGGGACTACAGGTCCCCACCACAACATCTGGCTAGTTTTTCTATTTTTAGTAGAGACAGGGTTTCACTTTTGCCCAGGCTGGTCTCAAACTCATGATCTCAAGCAATTTACCCACCTCAGCCACCCAGAGTGCTAGAATTATACGCGTGAGCCACTGCTCTCAGCCCAGATATTACAGTTTTTGAAAACAATGACTTGAACCTAGATTGAAATTACCTGCTCCTTACTTTGGTTATTTTCATATAATTTAAAGTCTCCAAATATTTATTATAAGGTGTTTAATTACATCTTCCATTAATCATCTATTGTTTTTGGAGAAATTTCTCTTTTTCTCCTCTGTTCCCAAATGGACACTCTATTGGTTTTCCTGAAACATGTCTTTTTTTTTTTTTTTTATCACTAAGCATTGGCTGCAAAAAAGGGGACAAGGGAACAATAAGTAAATAAAACAATAAAAGCTTTCAAGTTGGGGGCTGAAGTGGGGCAAGAATACACTTCCCACATTTTTATTGGAAAGGTACCGAGAAGCATAAAGGCTTCTCTTAAACCAGCGCATTACTCAGGCAGGCTCCAAAGCAAAGTTTGACTTCCCCTGTTCACCAGCTGATTAAAAACGAAGTAACTCTGAAGAATATTGTGGCGAAGTCATTGTTCCTTGCCCCTAAATTTAACCATATGGAATGATTTCTCAGTCTACCTTGTTACCTTTGTGAAGTGAAGCCATCTACCATTTGCTGTGAATGTGTATTTGTTAATGGAAATGAAGTAAGAATCTTCTTTTCTCTCACCTCCCTTGGTAACCTCTGCTTTCTCCGTACTAACTGCCACATGTAAAACATAGAGTGTCTATTGCCCAGGTGCCTTTTGGGATAAAGAAACAAACAGCTTTAAGAAGGATCTTTATGTAATTAAAATAAATGGTAAGAATGGGCTCGGTTCTCCAGGGGTAAATAAGTGAGTAGGACATAAAAGTGTTGGAAGAGTCCCTGGGGTATTGGAAGAGTCCCTGC